GGACTACATCTGCGATCTATACCTGATCATTGGCTATACTGGCTGTGGCTGATGACTGCCTAACACCATCTTGGAGGACCTCAGGTCGCTTGGCACTGAGCAAATACAGTGGTACCTCGGGTTAAGTACTTAATTCATTCCGGAGGTCCGTTCTTAACCTGAAACTGTTCTTAACCTGAAGCACCACTTTAGTTAATGGGGCCTCCCGCTGCTGCCGCGCCGCCGGAGCACAATTTCTGTTCTCATCCTGAAGCAAAGTTCTTAACCCGAGGTACTATTTCTAGATTAGTGGAGTCTGTAACCTGAAGCATATATAACCCGAGGTACCACTGTACAAGAATTATTCTTCATCTGCATTACTGAATGCAAAAACCAGAGTCTTTTATCATCTTAAAAAGTAACACATTTTATCTCTGGCATCACTTAGCCCATGGGTAGGCAAACTAAGGCCCGGGCACCAGATCCAGCCCAATCGCCCATGGACAGCCCAGGAATCAGCGTGTTTTTACATGAGTAGAATGTGTCCTTTTATTTAAAATGCATCTCTGGGTTATTTGTGGGGCATAGGGATTCGTTCATTATTATTTTTCAAAATATAGTCCAGGCCCCCACAAGATCTGAGGGACAGTGGACCGGCCCCCTGCTGAAAAAGTCTGCTGACCCCTGACTTAGCCCATATAAACTTCTGTCACAGTAAATGCTTCTAGGTGGGTGTTTATTGTGCCCCCCCAATCCACACATCAAAATGCCAGCTCACATTCCTGCCCCCCCCATTTTCACCTGGATTTCTGGGAAGAATCTGTTAAATTATGACTATTTGTATAATTTCAAGCTCCTGTCTTGAAGCATCAATCTTCACTTGATTTCACTATGACAACCCCTGTGGAATCTGTGAATTTGGGAGAGAACCTGGGAGTGGTACTATTATTGTTAATAGTATTATTATTATTATGGGCTGCATCGCAGCTCTCCTGCTAATGCCCCCCCCCCAAGAAAGGCATGCTATAATTACGTTTGAATGAGCTGAGCTCTCTCAAACATCTGCAGTTTTGAAGGAGAAGCAAAGGCAACTGCCATGAGCCCAGAGTTACAGTTGCACCAGCTGGTACATTGATATGCAAAGCAGGCGAAACCTTCAAGGCCTGGCCGCAGGACAGCGGGGGAGTTTCACTGCATGGCTAAGACCAGTTTGATAGCACCATACCAGAGCACATTCAAACAGATAACCAATTTTCTGGATTTGCTTTAAATGCTTTTTAAAAAGTGAGATCTGGGAGGGTTTGTTTACACCAACAGCCATCACCACCCCCTTCCCTTTCCTGCCAGATTAACTACATGAACACAAGAGATCTGGGCTCCAGAAGAAAAGAAAAATGATTAAATGATTCAAGGGCAGAACTTGTGAGAGAGTCTGCAGGATATCCTTTTGTTAGAGAGAGAGAGAGAAGTTCGCACAGGGGAATAAAAACAGGCCATTGTTGACACTACAAAATGGACTTAACTTAACTTTCTCTGTGGCATTAAACAGAATTCTGAGAATCAGAATTAATGGAGGGTGGTTATAGATTTAAATATAAGAATAAAGGCTGGAGTTGATGTAGAGACCCTGCTAGGTTGCAAACTGGGAAGAGAATTAAGGCAAGAGTCCTGTCAACACTACTACTAATAATAAAAAATTATTATTAAGCCCCACTGAACTCAGCAGGCATTACATTTGAGCATATAATAAGATCACTTACAACAATAATTAAGAGCTCATTATTACCAACTGCCTTCTAGGATAGCACTCAGCTCATCAGGAGGATTATTATACTATTATTACCGTCATTATAAATCAATTGCCAGTGACAGGAGAATCAGCTGGAGTCCTGCAGTTTTAAGCAGAGCTCCCACTTCTGATTCTTGCCATCTGGACTAGAAAAAGTCAGCAAAGTGCTGTGGGCGGGGGGGGGGGGGAGCGGGGATGAGGAAATACTGTGCACAGCAAAGAAAACGCTTTTCCTTAAGTGCCTTTGCAGGCAAACAAGAAACTTGTGCCTGGGTTTTGTGCAGAATCACGTGCTTGTTTCCTACTCAGAACAGGAGGCTAGTCTCACTGAGCTCAATGCAAGTGCAAGATTGTGCATGCTTTACTCAGAAGCAAGTCTCACTGAGTTCAATTAGTCTTACTCCTGACTTCAGGGAACCAACAGCAGTTTTCATCTATAAACTGCTGCTTGCACAGAGCAATCCCATGCACAGAGAAGTAAACCCTTCTGTGCTCCATGAAATACATTATACAGTACTGAATGCATGCACAGAGGATGGCAGCCTGTAGTAGTTTTGCAGCCCAATTGCAAGCGGAGTGGCAAGCTCTGCTGCAGTGGTAAAGCGCCCGTCTTACACGCAGAAGGGCTCAGGTTCAAATCCCGGCATCTCCGGGTGCAGAGCTGAGTGCTACTCCTGCCCAGAGCTGCTGCCAATCAGTGTAGGCTATACTGAGCTAGATGGGGCAACGGTCTGACTCGGTTGGTGCAGTTGCCTCTGTACGGAGCGGTAAGCATGCATCGGATCCGGCTGTGTTAAGTCTGCCCATACCCGGGCTGCAAGTTTTCCTGTTTGTTTGCCACAGCAGCAGAAACTGCAAAGGCTCTTTCCGGAGCGCGCAACGCTCAGATCGGCCAAGAAAAGAAAGCGGCGCGTCGATCGCGCTTCGCGAAGAGGATTTCGGAGCAAGATCGCCGCCACGGCTCCGACCCCCGACCCCAATACCTCTTGGTAAGACGACGAAGTCTCTTGTCTGTTCATGGCACCAGCGAAGAGAAAAGGCAGCGGAGAGACTCGATCAACAGGCAGCTGCAAAAGAAGCCGGGATCTGGCGAGGCAGCTGCGGAAGCGACAAGTGGATCAAAGAGCATCGGGCGTAACGGGACACACATTCTCCGGCCGGGAGGCGCACGGCGCAAGCGCGCGAGACCCCACCGTTTCCTCCAGAAACTTACTTGCGTGCACCCCGTACCTTGGGTCTGCACGGCTTGTTGCTTACACCGAGGAAGGGGGGGGTGTAGAGAAGGGGATGCTGGGAAATGTAGTTTGTGACCTGGAAGCTTTGGGCTGGACACGGGGCTTCTGGGGAATCGCCGGGTTCGAAATGTGCCGAGCAAGGCGGCAATCTTCCGAGATGCTCGTTGCATCGTAGTCGACGCTACACCGCGCAATCCTCGTGAGCCCACCCCCCTCCAAAACCCGTTTCCCTCTGTAGGAGGGCAGATGTGTGTGTGAAATATAGTTTATTGCGGCGCTGTGGGTTAAACTACAGAGCCTAGGACTTGCCGATCAGAAGGTCGGTGGTTCGAATCCCCGTGACGGGGTGAGCTCCTGTTGCTCGGTCCCTGCTCCTGCCAACCTAGCAGTTCGAAAGCACGTCAAAGTGCAAGTAGATAAATAGGTACCACTCCGGCGGGAAGGTAAACGGCGTTTCTGTGTGCTGCTCTGGTTTGCCCGAAGAGGCTTAGTCATGCTGGCCACATGACCTGGAAGCTATACACCGGCTCCCTCGGCCAATAAAGCGAGATGAGCGCCGCAACCCCAGAGTCGTCCGTGACTGGACCTAATGATCAGGGATCCCTTTACCTTTAAGCTGAGTCATATCTGCGTTAAGACATTATTTTTTGTATTAAATTAATTTTTATTTATTAAAGATTTTGTTTATTTACAGACTTGTGCAATGTCTCTCTCTCGTGTCCCCCCCAAAGTAACATTTTTACAGATCAATTTTATTTGTTGAGACATTAGGAAGAAAAGGGAGGAAGAGGTGGGGGGGAGGTGGGGGGTTGGGTGGCGATCTTTCTATTTTACTTACTATACGTAGGGTTTGGTGTCAGTGTTGCTTGTGCAGGTTCTTTGCTGTTCGCTTGTGTTCCTTTGGTGGTGAGGGAGGTTGGGGTTAGCCTAGGATAGTTATTCATTTGTAGTTGGCTATGGTGGTCTTTGTTTTCATGTGTGAGTGGGGGTGGGTGGGTGTTTTGGATCAGGTTAGCCATATTGATTTGTATGCTGTTGGTAGATTATTGTCATTGTCTTGCTGGGCTGTGTATGTGATAAAGGGGAGCCATACCGGGGTGAAGGTGTCTTCTTCTATATGTCCCCGTGTCAGTTTCAGTTTATTGGTTAATTTTTCTAGTAGGGCTGTTTCCTGCATTAAGACGTTTAAAACGGCATAATACCACTTCTAACAGCCGTGGCTTACCCCAAGGTATTCTGGAAACTCTAGTTTGTAAGGGTGCTGAAAGAGGCTAGGTTCATAGAATTGTAGAGTTGGGTGGTGGACCGTGGGGGTCAACTAGTTCAACTCCCTGCAATGCATGAATCAGCGTGGGACTTGAACCCAGGACACTGAAATTAAGAGCCGTGCTCTACTGACTGAGCTAAGAGACTCCTTTCTTCTTGCAAAACTACAGTTCTCCGTAGTTTAACCATCAATCTCTCTTCTCAGGGAGCTCTGGGAATTGTAGTTCTGTGAGGGGTATAGGGGGTTTCCTAACAACTCTTGGCATTCATACAAACTACAATTCCCAGGATTATGGGGCCCTCGCCTGCATAGGAATGCAGTGTCGGTTGATGGGTTGGATAAACAACTACAGTATAAAACATGCAAATGTTTAAATAGTTTCCCTTGATTAATTGGGCAGATTTTTTTTTTAATGAATGCATTTAAGCACATGTCCTTATAAATATCGTGCGCTCACACAGGAGGTAACCTGCCTTTCCAGGGTGGCGACATGTTTGCAGCATTGAAAAGCAAAGTTACACGCATGTCTTCTGTAGTGCAAGGTTTCATTTTAAAACGTAGAGGTGATGTTAAAGGCTCGTGAAGGGCATGCATCTAAAGCGTACTTCTGTTTCAGGGTGCTGGGAACTGTAACTTTGTACGGAATATAAACTACAGTTCCCAGGAGTCTTCGCGGGAAGGCGCGGAGAAAAGCAAGCGGGAGAAGTTTGCTTTCGAGAAACCCGATCCCTGCGGCTCCTTTCCCCCGCCCCTCGAAGTCTCGGCCGCCATCCGGGGCAGGAAGAGCGCCATGGCCGGCGGCTTCGCGGCGGCGCTGGTCCTGCTCGCCTCGGCCCTCCTGGGCTTCCGCGAGGGGCGGGCCGAACAGGAGCTGCGCTTCAAGCCCGCGCCCCGCCAGAGACCCGTGCGCCTCTTCACCGAGTCCGAGCTGGCGAGATACGGCGGGCAGCAGGTACGGCGGGCGGAGGGAGGCCGGGAGGGCGCTTTCCCGGGAGAAGGCGGCGGGCCAGGGCCGAGCTGAGGCTGCGAGGAGCCGCTGCTGGCCGAGGATTTAGGGCGCAAGGGCGGGTTTTGCTGGCTTTGAGCGATCCGGCGCGGGAAGCCAGCCGAGATCGGGTTTGCCTTGGGATGTTTGGTTTGCAGACGCTGCTAGCAACCAAAATGTGCGCGCAAGAGTATGGACGGAAGAGTTTTGCACCTCTTGGTAGGATCCGGATTAGAACTCAAAACAGCGACGGGTGTCGTTTTGCCTCGCGTTTGGTTCCCGTTGCTATGAATGGAAGGGCGTCGAGTGCGAACTCATTGAATGAACGCGGTGGGTTTTCTGAGTAAACAAGCCCGCACAGAGACAGGCTGCTCAGGTGCACACTTAAACGTGCTTGGGTTAAAGTCTCAGCAGGATTTGTTTCCTCCTTCTCCCAAGTAAGCATGCTGTAAGGAATTCACATTTCTTCCTTTCTTCTCTCTCTCTTTCACAGTGTGTGAGGTGCCCACCTGCAGATTTCTGCCCTCCCTAAAGGAGACAAGCCTGACTCCTTCCAGGTTTAGTAACTGGAAGCAAAGCTGCCAGCCTTCCCCCAAACTAGTGCTCTGTAGATGCTTTATCCTAAAACTCCCACACTCCTTTAGTGATTTTAACTGGTTTTGTCAGACAAGGCTCTCTCTCTTAACTTGATTCGTTCCATTTTTTGATTGTCTGGGGAAAAGAAGCTTACAAAATTATATTGGATGATTTAAATATATATATATATCTCTTAAAAACGAGTCTTTTTTGGGGGGTGGGAAATGTCTTTTCAGGAGGATCAGCCTATTTACATAGCTGTGAAGGGCGTGGTGTTTGATGTCACCTCTGGAAAAGGTGAGTTAACTTTCTAACAAGAGGGTCCCTCCCTCCCTTCCCATCTCTGGCTCAGGTTCAGAGGCAGAAATCTCAGCCCTGCAGCCTCAGCTACTGTAGGGCATTCTTAAGAAAGCTCCATATTTCCTAACCTGGTGTCCGCCAGATGTTCAGGACCACAGCTCCCATCAGCCCCAGCTAGCGTTGTCCTGGGATATTCTTGAAAGGGAGAGGAGAACAGAAGATTAGTAATATATAATCACAATTGAAATATCTTCCAGTACCTTCCCTCTCCCGCCTCCAAAGTTATTTCCTCTCCATCAAAAAGTGCCCAAAGGATTCCTCCCACCTCTGAATTCCTTCTTACCTGACCAGGCCTAGTAATGTTCCCAGCTTTGCTGTCTGTGTCTAAACTTGCCTCCGGAAGGAAGGCATGTTTCCCCCCCCCCTCAAGGCCTCCAGTTCCTATAAACTGCTTTGAGCGTGTTTTTTTTGTGGAAAAGCGGCATACAAATGAAATGACTGTATCTTCTCAGCAGCCATCTGCACAGCTCTTCCCCTTTCACCTCAGTTCTTTCCATAGCTGTAAACTTTTCCCTTTTTTTGCGAGGAATCCTATTCGGAATAAGGGAATTTCCCTTTAAAAAAGGGAAACATTGACAGCTATGGTTCTTTCATTGACAGCTATGGTTCTTTCATTTCTATTTATTCTCACACATTAGCCAGGCGGTGAGCTGCAGCAATGGACTTTATTCATAAAAAACTTTTTTACAGCCTGGTGCTAGTCAGAGAAGGGCCAAACCGGGTGGCTGCAGCTGCCGCTGACTTCATTTACTCACAATGCCTCTCAGGTCTGACTTAAGGTTGCTGTGTTTGAGGGAAACAAAGGAGGCATCGGGGGAAATTAAGGTGCTTCTTAAAGTGCTGGGCCTTAAAAGAAAAAGTAAGCCAACGCACGCACACAAAGGATGCTGGAGCAGCCTTGTTGGCACCTGCTGGAGTTTGTAGGCCCTGACATTTGCCCAACCATGCTGGATGCCGATGCTGGGCCTGGTTACCTCAGCCAAAAACGTGCATCGCCCCCTTTCAGCACATCACCATTTAAATCCACTTGGCTGCCTCCTAGGTGATTAGTTGGTTGCCACCTGCCGTCATCTTCTGTGCACTGAGCCTCATTATTTAAAATACTGGATGCCCTCAGATCATGTGCAGGTCTTCCATTAGTGCTGTGTTAGTAATATAATTAACTTGTTACTTTCATGGTCAGGAAGGCTGATAAGTGCATTAAGTGGACATCTTTCTCATCTTGTACAATGGAAGCTAAAGTTCTTTTGCGTTCGAATCTAATTTTTTTAAGGTTCTGGCATTGTACAAGGAAGATAAAACAGACAAACCTCCAAATGTTGTCCAGAGACCAGATATTTGATGCGCTCAGCTCTTGAGCCATCAGATGTTTGTGGGATTTTTATACCCTCACGGTTTTTTAACTTATTCCTTGTTCTAAAAGGAAATAGGCTTTTTTCCTGAAATACCACGGACATCATTAAATATTAGAAGTACCATGAGAGGTTCTTTTTTTAAAGAAGGTAATGAATTTTAGCTTAATTTCACTGAGACTTTATTTTCTCTTCCTTGGACAGAGTTTTATGCGAAAGGAGCACCGTACAATGCGCTAGCTGGCAAAGATTCCACACGAGGGATTGCAAAGATGTCGCTTGATCCGGTGGATCTCACGCATGATACAGTAAGAAAAAGAGAGATGTGTTCTTTGTGGCATGAGCTGAGGCCACAGTCCTGCACGTCACTTTACTTGCATCTGGGCCTAAATTGTTGTTGGCAGCTAGCTGTTGCCTCAGGCACATGCAGGATCAAGACATCTGGTGGGTGGAAGCGATCTCTGCATAGCTTCCTCTCCCTTTTGAATAGTCATATACAGCACAGTGAATGTATTTGCTTTCTCTTCCCTCCCTCCCTCCCCTTGCACAGACCTTAACTCGTTTTCATATTTCATTTAGGTGGGCCTTACGGAAGAGGAGCTGCAGTCTCTGGAGGAAACCTTCCAAAATGTCTACAAAGCCAAATATCCCATTGTCGGCTATACTGCCCAAAGAATTCTCAATGAAGATGGCAGCCCTAATCCAAACTTCAAACCCGAAGATCAGCCACACTTCACCATTAAGGATGAGTTTTGACCCAGTGGCATTGCGGTTCTAAGAAGCGGCGGGTACTGTCCTGCATTACAACAGAAAATAGACAAAAGCAAGATGTATGGCTGATAGCAGGACGAACCCTCGGAAAACCGAGTGGCGTAGCATGCCTGTGGCAGGATGTATTTTTTTACATCTTTAAGGGTAAAACTAGGTACCAGGTGCTTACTATGCTATCTTGGCTCTGCAGCTGATGAGCCAGTAACATCATGGTAAATGTGGAAATTTATTTTAGTCCAATTCTCTCCTCCCCAGTGAAATTTTCCAGGCCTTTCTATCTACCTGTCACTTGGCTAACTAAATACGAGTCTTTATGAGAAGGGCAGTGCTTGCAACAAAAGGCTGCAGCGTGGAGCGTTACTGGTTCAGGGTGCCAGCCAGCCATGCCAGCTTGAAGTATTCCATTCCACCCACCCACTGTTCTGTTCTCTCCCCCCCCCCCCCGGACAACAGTAAATTGGCATTCTGCGCCCACTGAGCATGCTCCATCTCAGTGGGCTGTGTTTGTGGTTCTTTTCTTTCTACAAACTTTGCAGTAAACCAAGGCTGCTCATGGCCTCCCTCTCTCGTTTTATATTCATTATATTTATTTACTGCCTTCCTAAACTGCATAATAGTCAAAGCTTTCTGGGTGGGCTCCAGATTTTCTTGGGTTGTGGACAGGACACAGAACATGCCTGCAGATATGAACCTTGCACTGCGTACTTTGTTATGGTTGTTTCGTAATGACTTCAATATTTCCAGTTTCTTTAACCTGAGATTAACTGCATCTGTGTTTTGTCATCTTAGATATAAATTGGGTCCCCTGTATTATTATTTTTAACTGTCTCACTGCGGCTTGGTCATATTTTATTTACTTCAGTCCTCTGGAGAGAGGGTTGCGTTGTGGTTTTTTGTTCCCCTCCCCTCCTAGTTAACCTAATTTACATCATCTCCAGTTTCTGCCAGGGAAAGACATGCCCTTATCCATCTGTCAGAGTCCTATTAGGAAATCTCTTGGGCTTTAATTTGCATAGCTCCCGGAGAACATGCATGCTTATGCTAGACAAATTGATGCTAACCACAGAGCTGCAGTAGCCTAAGGAGATTGTGTCGTGTTATGTTGATTTACCTGAGAGGCTGAATTAGCAAGATGACACTGAGCAGCCACTCTGGATTCTTCAAAGATAATTTGTTCTGTTGCATTAAGCTCCCCACTGTTTGATTTCAAAGAACAGACGATTACACAATCCTCTCACGGGAGGTTGTGTGTCATACACACTAATAAATAAATGAAAATAATCAAGAACTAGTTGCTTTGCATGCAGAAGGTTCAAAGTTCAGTCCCTAATTTATTTTGGTTAGGGCTGGAAGAGATCCCTGCCTGAAACCCTGGAGAGTCTCTTCCAATCACTGCAGACATTACTGAGCTAGTTGAAGCCAATGGTCTGACTCACTATAAGGCAACTTCCCGCATTAAAACTGGGTTTTGATTCAGGAAGTCCCTGCCCTCAGGTACCACTTTGGCCATAGGAAGCTGTCTTATACCAGGCCAGGCTGCTTGTTAGAAACTCAAATATATAAGTTAATTGCCAAATGGAAACTTAATTCTAGGTTGTGGTGGTCACAACAGAATGTCTAAGCACTTCCCCCCCTCTTGCAATGAAACATTCATTTCATTTCTCTACCGCTTTATATTTTAAAGGAAAAATCTCAAAGTGGTTTACAACACATTAAAATATCAGATAAAACAAGCCAAAATGAAACTAAGTCAAGCTTCAAGAAAAAAAAATCAGATCCTTCTCTAAGTGACATTTTGCTTTTGCCAGTTGCCAACCTGGCGTCCAGAAATCTCCATGTGGTTGCAATTGGACCTGCGCCAGTCACATTAATTAGTAGTGGGAGAGAACATAACCTCAATTGTGGTCAGCATCCATCAGCAGAAGAAATCTTCCAGGGTTCTGTTGTCATATTGTGGAAGTGAAACTCGGCAGAAGCCCTTTCAGTTTGCGGTTTGCAGAAACGGGAGATAGTACAGAAAACTGTGCACTTCGCTCCCATTTCTAAGAATAATAGCTGTGGAAGTGTTATGAGCAGCTATGCCTTGGCAAATCTGAGAAATAGTTCCTTATAACCCATTCCCACATTTCTCTAAATTTAAATTTCTGTTCTTTTACCAATAACTACTCAGAGCAGCTTACGAGCAAAAACAAGCCACCCGTTAAATTTTAGTTCACAATAATGAAAAATTGGATTTAGACAAGCAATAAAAGCAATTCATTATTAGAAAGGGCAGTGAAACTAAGAGCCTCTGGGTGTGCACACCTGAATCCATGTCCACACAGAAAGCTTTGGGACATCTTTGTCATAATCTGTGTCCTTACAAGGGTACAAAACAAATGGGTATTGGAGTGCAGAAGCAAAACACAAAGGCTGTGCCAGGTGTGTGTTTAGCCAAGAATAACCTATTGATGGTGCATTCCATGGGACAAGTACGAAGATTTATTTCGGCGGCCACAGGTGCAAAGGGTTCCCATTTGTCTACAACCCATTCCAACCAACCTGGAAATCCTGTTGTTTCATTTCAAGCTGTGCTTCTCATGCAAAGAAAAGGCCTTCTGCATCCTCTAGAGCTGAAAACTAGTGTGTCCTGGACAAGAACAAAAAGGCAAGGCATGAAGGGAAGGCATTTAACAGTGCAATGACCCCCCCCAACCCCTCCAAAGGCCTGTCAGTGCATTGCAAGATGTTGATTCAGGTATGTGCTCTCTAGTAAAAAAATCTATAGTGAAATTTATATTCAGTAGCAGATGTTCAGGTTTTTATGCTCCTCTATAAGATTCATTCATAGGTAAAAACACTGTTGCCTTAAGGAGCAATCCTATTGTTTTATTATTATTATCTTGCCCTGGGCAACCCAAAGGGACTTAACCAGACAGTAAACCTTACATAGATACATTTGAAGAAGAAGAAGAAGAGTTTGGATTTGATATCCCGCTTTATCACTACCCTAAGGAGTCTCAAAGCAGCTAACATTCTCCTTTCCCTTCCTCCCCCACAACAAACACTCTGTGAGGTGAATGAGGCTGAGAGACTTCAGAGAAGTGTGACTAGCCCAAAGTCACCCAGCAGCTGCATGTGGAGGAGCGGAGACGCGAACCCAATTCCCTAGATTACGAGTCCACCACTCTTAACCACTACACCACACTGGTTCTCGCCAGAGGAAAGAGAACTGCATTAAAAACATCCCAACCATTTCTAAAAGGCCACAGATAGTTAAAGGTCAAAGGCCTGGTTATAGAGGAAAGTGTTTTGCCTGCCACTTAAAAATACATATTTATGGCCCAGGAAGCCTTTTGTATGTTGGGTACCAGTCTCTGCATCAGAAGGACCATGTCACAAAATGCAGGTGTAACATCAGTGTTACAGGAAGATATGTTGGTGCAGATGTTTTAAGCAGGGTAACAAAGAAGTTCTGCTCAACTATCCTCGTCTTTTGCTGGCAGCTATGTGCATGCATGTTTTTGCCACCAGAGGGCAGTGTGGTTCAAACAATAAGCGGACAGCCACCCAGGGTTGGGAAAAGTGGGCATTGTGGCACTTGGGGGTATGGAGATGTGCAAGTTTCAACACATGCCCGTGACAAGTATAAAATATGAAAACCCATTAATTTAAATAGATATTTCTCGGGTGTATGCAAAGCCTCAAAGTAAATGTACCAAAAGAGATGTGATTTGGTTTGCTGTAACACATCATTTCCTGAGATTTCAGAAGCCCAGTAGATGGGAGAGCTGACATTCCACTGTACCTCCCTATGCCATTTCATTGTTACACCTACATGGGCCCATGTCTGCAGGGTAATAATTGCATTGGGCCAGAAGACAGTCTGTACATGCTTTACTCGGTTTTGCAGCTGGTGCTAAGCAGGTCTGGGCCCATAAGTTGCCTCATGGGGAGACTGAGAAGGCAGCAGGAGCTGCTTTGGACTCTTCTAAGGAAGTGGGTGTTATTTGTGTGACAGATAAATGTATCAAGGAAGGACAGGTGAACTTGAGTTAAATGGGTTAGGAGCACTGGAAGATGCCCAATCAGACTATGATTCTCATTCCGCTCTACAGTGGTACCTCAGGTTAAGAACTTAATTCGTTCCGGAGGTCTGTTCTTAACCTGAAACTGTTCTTAACCTGAGATACCACTTTAGCTAATGGGGCCTCCCACTGCCGCCGTGCGATTTCTGTTCGTAGCTCGAAGCAAAGTTCTTAACCCGAAGTACTATTTCTGGGTTAGCGGAGTCTGTAATCTGAAGCGTCTGTAACCTGAAGCGTCTGTAACCTGAGGTACCACTGTATTGTCTACACCAGGGGTAGTCAACCTTTTTATACCTACCGCCCACTAATGCATCTTTCTTGATGGTAAAATTTCCTTACTGCCCACCAGTGCTTCAGCTTGTGCCCGTGGAACCCCCTACCGCCCACCTAGAATCCCGAAACGCCCACTAGTTGGCAGTAGGGACCAGGTTGACAACCCCTGGTCTACACTAGTCATCTCCCCACTTATGCAGGGGTATGTTCCCGGATACTGCACATATACGTGAACTCACGTATAGTTGGGAACACCATCTAAAAAGCTTGTGAACCCCCTCTAAACTTCTGGAAACCAAATCCACAAAAATCTGCCAAGCTCCACCACAATCACTGCCTGAAAACCTCCTTTCTCAAACTCTAACTCTCCACAGGCCTCGAAGCAAAAGCTCCTGGGATTGTTAGCCGTTTTCCTGCTCTCTTTCCACAATTTTTGCAATTTTCCTGCCCTTTTTGGGGGGTCATTTTGGCCCTTTCCTTGCCTTTTAAAAAATTTGTTTTATTTAATTATTTGCTGGCGCTGCACATATACAGGGTCCCATGTGAGTCGAATGCTTGTAAGAGCGGGGACGCCTGTATTTTGACTGCCAGCAACTGCATCATAGAATCATAGAGTTGGAAGAGACCACAAGGGCCATCGAGTCCAACCCCCTGCCAAGCAGGAAACACCATCAGAGCACTCCTGACATATGGTTGTCAAGCCTCTGCTTAAAGACCTCCAAAGAAGGAGACTCCACCACACTCCTTGGCAGCAAATTCCACTGTCGAACAGCTCTTACTGTCAGGAAGTTCTTCCTAATGTTTAGGTGGAATCTTCTTTCTTGTAGTTTGGATCCATTGCTCCGTGTCCGCTTCTCTGGAGCAGCAGAAAACAACCTTTCTCCCTCCTCTATGTGACATCCTTTAATATATTTGAACATGGCTATCATATCACCCCTTAACCTCCTCTTCTCCAGGCTAAACATGCCCAGCTCCCTTAGCCATTCCTCATAAGGCATCGTTTCCAGGCCTTTGACCATTTTGGTTGCCCTCCTCTGGACACGTTCCAGTTTGTCAGTGTCCTTCTTGAACTGTGGTGCCCAGAACTGGACACAGTACTCCAGGTGAGGTCTGACCAGAGCAGAATACAGTGGCACTATTACTTCCCTTGATGTAGATGTTATACTCCTATTGATGCAGCCCAGAATTGCATTGGCTTTTTTAGCTGCCGCGTCACACTGTTGAAACTGATTTCAGGATTTCAGATAGGGGAAATTTCTGACTGTACCTAGAGATGCTGGGGCCCGAGCCTGAGGTCTTCTGCATGAATGTATGTGTTCTCCCACTGAACTACAGGCCTTTGGTTACCTTCCAAAAGATGCGGCCCCTTGTTGGGGATAGGATTGCACCAACCAGGACTGAAAAGCAGCTCACTTGAATGGGAATTGTATGACAAAGGTGTAGTCCCTCTTCCCGCTGGTCCTCCAGATGTTGGACTACAACTCCCATCATCCCTGACTGCTGGCTATGTCCGCTGGGGCTGATGGGAGCTGAGAGTCCAACAACATTTGGGCCACAGGTTCCCCATCCCTGCCTTAAAGCAACCTGATGACAGATGTCACTATACCAGGCTTCCGACTGTCTTAGACCACAGTGAGACAAGGCTCCATTTTGGCCAGATTGAGGCAGCCCCATAAACAAAGGGAAAGAGCCTCTGTGCGTCTCCTGGGCACGTTTCACCCAGTATGAAGTTATGTAAGAGGCTTTCTAGATAAAAAGAAAATGAGGAAATAAAACATTCCTTCATTACCGCATGTTGTTCCCCACAGAGTCAAATGATCCATCACATTGTGCTGAATCATGCCAGCCTTGTATTGGAACATGTCAAGAGGAGATATGATGGAGAAAGAGGAGGAGAAAGAGGAAGAGGAATTCAAAATCATATTTGGTTTCTGGGCAATG